GGGTAAACCTGCTGAACTTTGTTCCCTGTTGCCACTCATTCAATCTGAGACACATACGAACAAAAAACCGCTTCCTGATTGGACGTGTTGCCTCATCACTCTTACCCTTCTGGGTTGCATTTTCATCAGTAACTAGGAATCGACTTCGATAGGATCGCAAACAGTCTGACTAGCTATTCCTGAACACATTATTTTGACATTTCTTCTGACTAATTTTACTGTTTTCTCAACTAAATACCGGTCTGACAGTCAAGTGTAAACAGCTAGCAGCTGACAGAAGTTTTTCTGGGCTACGGAAAGGACTTATTTCGAAATTTGGAGCATTGATCTCTTTAAAGCTGCAGTCTGGTAACTGAAAGGAAAATAGGTGCCGAAAAATACTCTCGTTTGCACACAAATTCGGCTTCAACATGAGAAGCAAATGAATCTTCCATTTATGAAGTTCCACAGTTAACAACAATACCTAGCTAGCGAACTATTGTTCTACTGGCGTCGGTGATTTAGCTGTTGGAAGCACTCCCAAAATAGATACATTTATAAACTTGTATCGTCATCCCGAATCTAAACGCTAATTTTTCAAGGAAGGGTTTTCTTTTGTGACATTTTAAAATAATTAGGTATCCGGAAAACCTTAGCACCAGTAGAGTGAGATAAACGCAAGCAGAACTTTATTCCATGACATTTAATCTCTTTCACTGATGAAACTACGGCGCGAGAGTATGGACAGCCTAATCTGGAGAGGGGCATTGTCTCCATCACTGGGATTAACCCTGGCATTAGGGTGCGTCTTATCATGGCGTACACCATAACAGAGACATGCATTGGTGAACGGATAAAAAACGGGCAAAGCTAATTTGCGATGAAGCCGCGATAATGTAACACAGAATGTCCCCTAAAACGTATGCGGACCATTAAAAATCTCGGTGGTACTTTTGATGACCATTTTCACATAGGTAACTTATTGTACGATTCAGCAAAATAACGTTTTTTCGGTAGTTGATCTGTTGGTTGTGGATCTTACTCCAAGCTTGGAAAGTAACTTTCAAAGAAGGTTTTCTCTTCCTACTGGCTTCTCTTCTGTCGAAATCATCCTCTGCAATGTGGTTAACAGCAATCGATTTCCATGTTGCTTGCATTTGGTACCATTCCTTATACGACCATCACTGTTTAGCAGCAATACCTCATTGCAGCGATTCACCATCAGGTTAGTCGAAAACAATACACTTTCAGACAAATTATCGAAGGACAAAACGGTCGCCACCAGAGATCCTGGCGTACCATTAACCCCTAAATTTTAATCCGGTACGGAAAAATGAGGTGTTTACATCTATTCACTCTCATATCAAAGAGAGCAAGTTAACACCGACAAGCTGTAATAACAACCCGTATTAAATAACGTTGTAAGAGGGTGAACTGGGAGGTTTACTTGTTGTCGACTAGTTGTTGTCCACTGATCTAATATGTAAAGTCATTTTCTTAACCTCCTTAACACTAAAACGTTAGAGAATATTTTACATTAAGAAGAATGAGATCCTTCAAGTCACTCCAGACAGATCCTTGTGGGCACGGTATAGCTGGATGAAGCGGAATGAATTAGTAATGAGCGAGTAGCCAGGCGGTTTCCATACCGATCTACTCTCCTGCGTGTTCTAAAGTCCTTACTAAGTGCAGTTACAAAGAACATTGCCACTTGGTTCCCGAGAAAACTGCTTGGAAATGAGGTTGTTGCGTTTTTCTGACTTGTTCTGCAGTACAGCTGAAGTTTTGCACAGAATGGTGAATACCGTTTAACAACTTGCATGTCAATCTTTATAATTCACCTCTTCTGGTCACCAGCCATTTGTCTTTCACTACTCACACGGGGGAATGAATAAAATTCGAATCGGAGCTGGCAAACAAATCAGCTTTTGTTGTTCCTAACTCAAATAACTCGTTTCAAACACGTACTCGCGAATGTTGAGAAAAGAATGTGTGATTGCAATCTGTCATGAATGGCACATGTCATCCCCAAAACTCTCGGCGAAGGAAAAAAGAATGAGTTGTGGCCAAGGGTGGCCAGGTGGGTTGGTGGGTGGGTGGTTAAGTATAGGAGTTTGATTCAGATGGACACAGTAGCTAAGTCGTGAGCGAACAAAACGTTTACTGTTATCCTTCTACTTGGTCACACCATCAATGCAAGACTGGGTGAAAACATTCCTGTACTGTCATTTTCCGAATGCACTCGCGAGTTATTTTGAAAGCACAGTTATCTCTCTGCCTTTCACCACACCCCCTCCCCACGGCTCACGCACATACCGTCGTTCATGGTTTCTTCGGTTTGGGTGGGTAATGGCGGATTATGGGTTGGAATATGCTTGAGAAGGCTTGCGTGCAATTTATATTCGCAAAAGAGTGAATATCTTGTGAAGATACCAGTTCTCTGTGTGACAGCGGCTTTCGAGATGAAACTTGATAATGTTGTTTATAACTACGCCCTGTTTTGCTGCTGTCCCAGGAAATGGCGAACAGAATACTTTCGAGTTCATCCGGTTAAATCATCACAGGTGGTAAGCATAACCACCTGTGGACAACGCTACCAATAAAATTGCGATAAAAAATTGACAATTAATAATGTTCCCCACACTAGCGACAGACCTTCAATTTTTGAATTTATAGGAAGGTAACGAGTACTACTAAGCTGAACAAACTCTTTATTAACAGCGCTTGGGTGTCCACGAATGCTGTAAAGAGGATGAAATAGGGCAGACCGAATAAGTGAGAGCCTTTCGTCAATAATTCCCGAGTAAAGGATACAACGGGGAACGGGTTAATTTAGCCCCTACTTGGGAGAGTTACATGTATGAAGAGAGATTTCACTTGAAATCACGGCTAACAAGAGGAGCAACCTGTCTATGAGTGGGCCACTTTAAGTGTTACTGTGTTTGTTGCACCATGGTTTGTTCTGACGCCAAACACTTAGTTATTCCCGATTATTTGTGCTGGAACATTTAGAGTTGTGCCTGGTCATCAGATGCAGCTAATTCGAGGAGTTGTGTTTCTTGAGCTAGATGTAGACCAGATTGTGAGCATTACTTGATTCTGGGCCACAAAGTCGGGAGTTTATGTGGACACTCAGCTGAATCTTTCACGGTATAGATCACAATTTAGTCCTAACATTAAGCAACATGTTTGTCCAGACCATTTTATCTGGTAACAGTCCTTCTACTGAATCTATGCAGAAGGAACAAGTTATTTGTCTGCCATCCGCTATTAGCAGCAGCGCATAGTAAGGAAAGTTCAGTGGTTGTCTTATATGCTGTCGAAAGCTATTATACATAAGGAAATTAGGTGAGGGCAGCTCCTGTTCAATTTGTGACGATCAAGGCTTTATTTTACCAAGTTTCGGTTTTAACACATCTCAAGCAAGTGTTCAATACGTGGCTATAATGATGTCTACGTGCTTAAATATACGATAGAATGGCCAGTAGACTACCACAGTATCGTCCTTATGACGACCGGTTTGAATGTACAACGCAAGCAAATTGTCCAGCGCCATATTGGACACATCCGCAGTATGATGCCTTATATTATCTCAGACAACTTCAAGTAGGCTCAGCTTCATACATTTGGAGCTACTAATTGCGCAGAAACTGATTAGAGAATGGGAAGTCTATAGTTAGGAATGAGCTTACCCAAAGAGAG